CCCCAAAACCCCAAAACCCCAACAGATACAGATACAGGACAATATTTAAAGCGAATAATTTTCAAATTTTAATTAAGTTATTAATTATTTAATCGGGTAATGTAAATTAAGAGCTCGGATAATGGGAGATAGGATTAATTTTTCAAATAAAGACAATCATTTGTTTCATAGCAACAAGCCTTTGCCAAAAAATTAATAAGAAAACTGTAAAAGTCCTAGCATTAAATTGCTAAAATCAGCACTAATTCTCCTTTAAATATTTTGGGACCCAAAATAGAGGAACTTGGAGACTCTTATGAGAGACAATAACTGAAGAAGCAATTTCACTTTCAATAGAAGCATCTGGTTCCATTGAAACAGAAGAGTCATGTTCTGGAGATTAACCCTAAAACTGACATACTCAAACGAAGATAGTTAATTTTTGATAGCCAAATTGACGTAATGAACCAATTGAACTTGAACATGCCTTCGAGTACTTAGAATCTTGAAGAATCCCCAAGGTCTTCACGAAAAATAAATAATAATAGTAATAGCAACTCAGGTAACAACGGAGTTATTCGCTAACCTACAGGGGGTGTGTTTGAAAGTATGTTAGCGCTCCCTAATTAGTCACAAGCTAATCTGTCTGGGTTTTTCAACTCAAAAAGATCATCTCAGTTTTCAAATTAAAATTAGATTTCTCCAAGAGCGGTTCTAGATAAAAAAGGCAGATTTAGCATTTTCGAAAAATCCACATTTAATCTAATAAACATGCAATAAAAATAGCCTGAGATGTTCGAGCAACATTTAGATATTAGCAAAATTATTAAGTAATCAAGAGCGGTAGGAAAGCGAGATGCAGCTGAGTTTATTAGGACTCATAGTTGTTTCAAAGACGTGACAAAGATGCATAGAGACCTTGAGTTGTCATACAATGACCTTAAAGCAGCTATTAGATCACCTAAGAATAGATCATCTTTTTGGGAAGATGTATGGAGAGAGGAGCAGAGAGAACTATACTTTGGCAAGAAAAATCAGCTCTAAGTAGATGAACTCAGTCCAAAAGTAAGCACCGATAAGCCAATAATGGCTAAAATTCCCTTAGGAGAATTAAATAAATAGCACAGGCCCTCTCTAGGATCGGTGCTTTCATAAAAAGAACCTCAGTCTACAAAGTCTAACTCAAGGAGGAATGAGATTTCTTCAAGAAGGACCTCAATAAATCACTCTTAGTTTTTGAGACTTGCAGATGATCTGGAGATGCTTGAGAACAAAAAGAGAAGGAAAATGCTTAAAGACTAGCTTAAAGTTGTTATTGGTAATAAGTAGTCAGATAGCATATCATAGTAAATGATAGAGAGCACGAAGGAAAAACCTTCCTAGGGTGTATTTGAAGAGATTTTGAGAAAAGAGCTGAAAGCACATGGAAATTCACCCGTTAATCAAAGATATGAGTTGATGGAGAATTCAATCATATAGTCAAAGCTGGTAGATTATAGTAAAATTCTAGATCTTCAAGATATTAATGCTATCACTAATAAATCACCATTCAGAGCTAAGAAGCAATCGTTACCTAAGGTAAAAACAGCCAGCATTCTCAATTGACTAAATAACTATATAATGACTAGGTTCATAATTAATGATATCATCGTCAGTAATATCAAATTTACAATCCTCGATGTCTTCAATTTTAATATCTTCTAAAGATTAGTTTTAGTCTATATAGTATTTCTATTGCTTTTCTAAATCCACTTCATCTTGGGGCTAGAGTTTCACTACTGATAGTCTATGAGTGTTTAATTTTTTAAGTTATTTTGGTATTTCAAAAGCAATTTTATCTATTTTTTATCTTATTTATAGTATATCATTTGGCAGTTATTGAATTTCAAATAGTATTGTGTCATTTCTTTTCATGAACTAATAATCTGTGTTCATTGTAGATAGCTATTGTAATTGGCCTATCTACACCGTTTTAACTTTTTGTTTGACAAAAGGCAAACATTTTAGCTTCATTTTAAATATAGTTTTCATCATTTAAGCAATATCATATCCCATTTCAATAAGTGATATAGCTATAAAGAATACAATGATAGATATCATTATACCTCCAATATCATCTTTTATTCTTTGATCTTGGACATAGTCTGTGAAACATATTTAAAAAATGGCTATGGCAAAAGTCATAGTTTCATAAAAGATCTCTTTTTAGTTTTCTATGTGATCTTAAAATGGTTTCATCTATATTAGATATAATAGCTTGAATAGTGAGAGCAAGAGAAAGGTCATGATCTGTAAGTAAGTATCATTCTAAAATGCAATTATAACAATGACAATCACAAATCTTCTCAAAATGTGAATGAGAGGCTACACTAGTAAATGATCAGGCTTGACATTTTTTAAGCATTAAAGATACGTTCTGTTGAAGTAATTTGTAAGAAATTTAGGGGTAATTTAGAATTATAACAAAATCACCAACACTGTTAACATAATTATGAATGCCTATAGAGGATGAGTAAATACAAGCTTACGAATAAAGTAAGTGCAATAAGATCTGAGAAGATCAGCGAAGGATGTGAATGATTTTTTATAGCGAGAACATTAATGGTAGTAAATAGGGATATTGGCAAATAATACTCATAGATAAATCTGAAGGGTAATCCAAGGATCAAGTAATCTATTAGATTAGTAAGTCTTTTACCAACACTATAAACTACTTAAAAGTTATAGACTTACTATTTTTATCTCTTGAGTATTGCCTAGATCATAATTAGGAGAGGTATGGATAAAATTAGAAAAATCAACAAAAAACTCATGTAAGCAAAGTTTAAAATAAAAAATCTGGTCTCACATCCGAAATTTAGAAACTATGAGTTTTATGCACCTAAGTAACTGGTTAGTTGATAAATATTTCTAAAATTCGAATCATCTACAGAGTCTACATCAAATTTCAGAGTTCTTTCAATCAATTAGTAAATATATAGGATGTTTCCTGGCATATTAGTATTTAAAAGTGAGGTATATCCTATCAGTTACAGTGTTCTGAACAAACTTTGAGGAAGTTAAATTCTTTATTTCAACAGAGTGCATAATAGTAATTTAAAGCTAATCAAAGCTACTATGGAGCCTAGCAATATCTTATAAAGATTGTTGATCTATTCCTTCACTTGTAAAGATATTTGGTTGGGGATGACTTATCTTAATCTTTAAATGAATAGTTGCATTTGATATTCCTGATCAAGATTAGTAAACATATAAGGCTAAAGGATGTAAATTTCCAAATCTGAAGGCCATGCCTTACTAGTTTTCTCGAAAATGACTTGAATTCTCAATTAGTTATTGTCTATCTCAATCAAAGTGAAGTTAAGTTATTAAGTACTTCCAGTAAAATGGATTTGAATATAGTTTTTGATATTTACCATGATGTTTTTTTTATCAGTATCATTCAATCTTCTCTCGAAATAGAGCCTAAAAGTGCCATAAGGGGTAATTGAGCTTAGCCAAAGCTTTTCATCTTATGGGTATTCTAACTTATTGTGGTTGTCCTACACTTTAATTATTTCACCACAATATTGCATTGTAATAGCTGGTAGAAATGTAAGTTCCATACTATATAGGCTTCTTAAAGGCAATTAAGGGTTATTATCCTCTAAAATTATTTGCAGTTAAATTTTTCCTGTTCTGTTAAAATTTTTGTCTATTTAAATATCTCTCTTGTTATTGACGTAAAAGTATTGCTATTGCTTTTTACTTTCATCTATAATATAAATATTGACCTTATCTCCAGGGTTAGGATCGTAGTACTTCGGCAATCTGATGATTTTATCAACTCCTAGCACTAGAGTAGCATCTTATGGGATATTATAAAATCTAGGAGGCAAATTTTATACATTCCTCACACCACTATTGTTAGCAACTTTTTCTATATTAATACTAGAATTACTAGTTTTTTCAATGATCTTAATACTATTTTCTAGTTTAAGCTTGAACTATGTTTGATTTTAAAGTCCATCATAAATGGAGCAGGTCAAGAGGAAAGAATAGGTCCCTTAAAGTGATTCATCTTTCGTTTGAATAATTAAAGAGCCATTTATTTCATCATATGTATAAAATTATTTACCTTTTAAACCGCTTACTAGCTTTAATTTATGCTTTACCTAAATGTCATCGCATTTGTATTTGTATAAGCAACCTTTAATGGGTATTTCTAACTATTAATTACCAATAGTATAATTATAAGAACTTAATAGTGATTATGGCATTAAAATGAATCTCTCGACCAAATCTAAGATTTGTACTTTGTTCTCAATTAAATCAAAATCAATTAAATTTATATTGTTTGATCCATTTTTAAAAGTGATTGTATCAAATCCATGCCAAGTGAGCCTTTGCTTGTCAACTAATAATCTAGCAATATTTAGGAAACCTGTTGAGACTTAAATAGAGATAGTCTAGAAATTTTCAATATAATAAGGCTTGGGCAAGTCTAATAATAATCCTTATTTGAATTTGTAATTATTCCCTTAAATAAAGCCAGCAACCATACCTTTTAATGGCTGCTAAAATTGAAATTAATAGCCTATCATTTGAAAACCCGATTTAAAAGAAAGCAATTCAAATGCTTGTTAACTATCTCCTGTATAGCTCAGATCAAATATCTTGAAGTAACTATATTCTTTTTAATCAGAAGAGTAAAGAGCTACTGCAAGCTTCTTTTATTTAATGTCAAAAGACATTCCACCACAAATTATACCATTTTTATCTTAAAATCTGAAATTATCATAAAGTTTATAAGTAGAATCTGATTTTGCATAATCGTCTTAAATTAAAGATATCATAACATCTATATTAGAGTGCCTAACATATTACTAGCACACTGCATAGTGTCTAACCTTACTTTCAGAATCATCGCTCACTTCTAGAAACTGTGCTTTACTTAAAAGACTACTTAAATCTAGAATGTTTAATACCTTAGTTACTTAATCATCCATCTTTACAATATATGTAGACTCGTTTATAACATAAAGTAGTAAAACTTGTGATGGGAGAAAAGAGTACTCGATTAAATAGAAGAAATAACTAGCGGCGTAGAAGGAATACTTGAATACGGTAACCCTATCTTGGAACTATAAATGGAAAAGTTAACTATAATTATATTACTCTATAATGTATTCCAATCGAATGAGCATTATCAGAGTTGATATCTAGGTAAGTGGTATTTATATCCTTTGAAAAGGCTGTCATAGAATATGATGAGTCATCAGTCAAGCAAAAAGATGTAACTAATTCCCCGTTTGATACATCAATTTTTTATAAGCATTTGAAATTAACGTCCATAACATCAATGCAGGATTCATCGTTTGCCAATTTAAGGAGATTGGAAAGTTAAAGTGTATTATTTAAGAAAACATCTGTTTGCTTGGAAAACTTCTTGTTCATTTGATCATCAAACCCGGCATAAAATACTTGCTTTGCTTTGTTTGTTTAGTTATTTTCATCTGAAAGTAATCCCACTACAAAATAACTTGAAGTTTTATGGAGCTAGTAAGCCTAGAAAAATTCAACAGATTTATCATGTTCCTCTACCCCAAAAATCCTGCTCTTTTAATTGAGGCAAACATTCTTAGTTTTGCAATAACTATAGTCTATGAAAATACTAACACTTACTTTATGAAGAGGATGGCTAATAGCAAAATTATAGATTAGAACGAGGGATTATTAATAAGCAAAAAAAATAGTCTAGAGTTCATTGATAAAATATTTAGTATTTAGGGCAATATTTGGAGTATTTAGAAGATTTCAAGCTTCAGAAAATTATTAAACTGTACTAAACCTATAATTTAATCTTAAATATAAATGATCCAAGAATACCTGACTTATTTTCAATTTATTCAATTTAATGAAATTTCTATCTCTTGGGGTTTTGGGGTTTTGGGGTTTTGGGG